TAGAGCCCCATGTTAGGCTACGTGCTGACAGTGGGAGCCCTCCTGGGATTCTCTGTCTCTGTCCCTCCCTTGAATTCACTCTTTCTTTATCAAAATGAATAAACATTAAATTAAAAAATGGCTTTCGAGGTGCCTGGTGGCTCAGTTGGTTAAGTATCTGACTCAACTCAGGTCACCAATCTCACAGTGCATGAGTTCGCGTCCCACAACTAACTAACTCTCTCTCTCTCTCTCTCCCCTTCTCCCTCTCCCTCTCCCTCTCCATCTCCACGCCTCCTTGGATTCTCTGTCTCTCTCCCTCTCTCTTTCGACCCTTCCTTACTTATGCCTTCTGTCTCTCTTTCAGTAAAAAATAAATAAATTAAAAATCTAAAAAAAAAAAAAAGGTTTCCATGAAATACTATGTTACGGGATCACTGAGCACTATGGTCAAGATACTGTTGTTGAGGTACTGTATGGTACAAGACAGGGAATTTCCCAAAATAGTACAGGCACAGGACCCGTGGGCAGAAAGAAATGTACTTTGGCTGCATGAAGCTTATATGTTCATGGGGGAGGGTAGTTGCACAGAGTGTTCAATCGCAAATATTTCTTTAAATTGATACTTGCAAGACTACTGCAAGATTTCTCTGGTGGCTATCATTTAGTTCAATAATAACTATTGGTGAGACATACGAACATTCAGGAGACCGTTTTAAAAATGCGGCATCCAGAGGCACCTGTGTGGCTAAGTCACAGCCTGGAGTCTGCTTTGATTCTCTTCCTCTATCTGCCCCTCCCCCCTTTACACCATGCTCTCTCTCACTATATAAATAAACATGGAAAAAGAAAAATTGAATGTGTGACCCAGTCTTTATTTGATGCTTATCCAAACTATGCAGTTCCTAGGTCAGACTTCTGTGGTGAAGGTGAACGTGTTTCTGTTTGTATCCTTCATCATAGTAGAGTCAGAAAAAAAAAAAAAAAAAAAACAAAAAAAACTGTTATATTCATATCATTCTGTTCGTGTTCATAGTGTGAGTAAAAGACCTAAGCATTATCACCTACAACTAGATTGAGGAGTTTCATGCCATCAAAATGTTTTTTGGTTGGTTGTTTTTTTTTTTTTAATTTATTTTGGGAGAGACAAGGGGGGGCAGAGAAAGAGGGGAGAGAGACAATCCCAAGCAGGCTCCACACTGTCAGCATAGAGCGTGAGGTGGGGCATGAACTCACGAACCTTGAGATCATGACCGAGCTGAAATCAAGAGTTGGACACTTAACTGACTAAGCCACCCGGTCACTGCTCATTGAAATTGGTTTTTAGTCATCCTGATAATTTTCTATTCTATCACGTTTAATGTTATATAACTCCTTTTAAAACATATGTATGTGTGCATGGAATGTATAAACGTGGATCAATTTTGTGTGCATACCTTCTTCTTTCCATCAGTGTTCTCAGGTTTTAACACCTGCTGTGAACATTGATTTAGGGTCCTTTGTGTATATTGATCTGTGTGTCCTTTTAGATCAACTCTAGGTCAGTTAACCTGGGTTAAAATCTGATCCATACCAAGTACTGGATGCTTGACAGAATATTCACTAAAAAGGATAATGTGTTTCCTCTCTTAGATTAGTATTATTTATTTTCCATGAATTTATGAGAAACTGTTAGATGCTCTCTACTAACCAGGAAATGCTTGGAAAGCCTTTTTGCCTTTCTTGCTATTCTAGAAGAACTTGTAATTGGTATAAAACCCGTTCAGCTTCAAGTCCTCAAAGAGTTTTCGAATTTGAGTTCTACTTCTTCATTATTGAAGTATTTGTATCCCTTGTCCCATAGACTAATGTCTTGTTAGAAATGCAAAAACCTACCCCATCTCAGAACTCCTGAACAGAATCTGCATTTTAACAAGATCTCCAAGGCACTGTTGTGAGTTCTATTCAGATTAGGATATACTAAGTATATTTGTAACTCACTGATACTTCCCACTAAGAAATAGACACCACATGTACTGTATGATGGAAATACAGGATTCCAAAATGTGTATGCCTGTGTTGATGCCTTTATTTTACAAATTCTCTTGAATAAACACAATATTTATAACGGTTCATACCTCAAATTCAAGAATATATTAGAGCATAATACTGTGTTACAAATTGTCTTACTGCAGAAAGCAAGAAACTCATCTAAGTAGGAACCAGTTCTCCTAATATAACTGAACAAACAGGAATACAGTCCTTGGTGAATCACAAAAAAACTATACCAAGTGGGGATGTCAGACAAAGGAAAATTGATTTACAGGAAATAAGGAGATCACAGGGAATATGCCAAAAGCAGAGACTCACAGAGGAATGGAGAATCATTTCCTTTAAAAAAAAAAATTAAGTTTATTTATATTGAGAGAGAGAGAGAGCAGGGGAGGGCCAGAGAGAGTTGGAGAGAGAGAATCTCAGGCAGGCTTTGCACTGTCTGCTCTGTCAATGCAGAGCCTAATGTAGGACTCAAACTCACAAACCATGAGATCATGACCTGAGCTGAAACCAAGAGTCAGATGCTTAACCAACCAAGCCACCTAGGCGACCCGGAATGGTTTCCTTTTATTTAGGGTTAGGGTGGATATTTAGAAAATGAGCCTGGGGATAAGGTTGTACATGAGCCTTAAGAAAACAGTTGTATACATTCACTGTGTGTTACATAGTAAATGAGGTTTGTGCTCCTCCATGGGTGGAGATTTTAGCATTATAATGAGGTAAAAGGGAGCTCCTGGGTGTCCCAGTCCCTTGAGCTTCTGACTTTTGATTTAGGCTCAAGTCATGATCTCATAGTCTTAAGATCAAGCCCCAAGTCAAGCTCCATGCTGAGCATGGAGCCTGGTGGGATTTCTTCTCTCTGCCCCACCCATACTTGTGCTCTCTCTCTCAGGAAATAAACTTAAAATATATATATAATGAGATAAAGGTAACTGTTCTCACTTCATGCTTACTCTAATGTTCATCTGCATAGATGTGAGTCGGGGGTTAAGGTCAAATTGAGACAATGGAAGCTCTTCCTCAAGGCAGTCATTACCTTTGTTGGATACTTTCTGTTTCCACCACAGGACAGTATGCCCATGGGGTGTTTTGCCTGAAGTAAAAGGTAAGGTGGAAAGAAGAGGTTAAGTAAACTGAGGGACTAAGGTCAGTGAGCACCTGCAGGTAAACACTGAAGGTGGGTTCCAGCTGGTGCCATGAACTCCCCCTTGCATCTTAGGGATCCTGATGACCTCCTTCTGTGTCCGCTTGGTAACTGGTATTTATTGCAGGGACTGCTGACCTTCAGGGATGTGGCCGTAGAATTCTCTCAGGAGGAGTGGGGATGCCTGAACCACAGTCAGCAGGAACTATACTGGGATGTGATGTTAGAGACCTATGGACACCTCCTCTTCTTGGGTGAGGATAACTCCCTCTAGATTTCCCAAACCACACTCAGGTTTTGTTCCTTCCTTTGAAGACTGTCTCTTCGAAGCTTCCCCTTTGTATGACTGGGATTCAGATCCCTACATAAGGGAAAGAAGTAGGAGTTTTTAGATGTAAAAAAATACTTTCATGATGTTTTCTTTCAAGTTAGTTTTCCCTTCCTTAGACTAACCTCATCATTTCTTAGATTAATGGCAATTCTAAACATTGAGTGCCATAAAATGGTATTTCCATCTTCAATACCAATTTCTACTCGTTACGGTAGTGGTAATACTTGGAAGTGGAGATCAAGATGTAAACCTTGGAAACCATCCTGGGTGTTCTGAAGGGGCTATTGGGCAACAGCATTTGGGAAATCATTTTCCAGAATTGTACAATGTCCTCTCTTCTCCACTGAGTCCAGTTGAAAAGTAAAATCTCCAACAATACTCCTATTCCTTTTTTCTAACAAACAGGTCTTGTGTCAAAGCCAGATCTGGTCATCTTTTTGGAACAAAAGAGGGAGCTCTGGGATATCAAGAGAGAGGAGACAGTAGCTACACACCCAGGTAGGTGGGAATGAATCCGATGACAGAGGTGAGGTGCCATTGTCCAGGAGGAACATAGACATGAAAATGTGGTTTGAGCAGCCCTCCTTGAATGGAAATTAGTTTGAAAAAACCTAGTTTTATGTATCTTCGTCTCACAGTGGACTTCTGCTTTCCAACACATCATGCTCTTACATTCTCTAAGGATTCTCCTTCACTTCCACTGTAGGTCCTTCACGTCCACAGTGAGGTCCTCCATAATCTGACTCGTTCTCCATTGTTTTGAGTGTTTGGGGAAATCTCTGCATTTCTCAGGAAGTCTATGTTAATTCATTTCTGAGTATTTGCCTTGTGTGAGACGTGTGTCAGGGTGGTGGTGGGCATATTGGTGGTTGGCACAGAAATCCCAGGAACACTGGGGCAGATACCACATGTTATCTGGTTTATGCTTTCCAAATTTATGGAGGCATTAATCTTAATCGTACAAAATTGAGACGCACTAGTTTCATCAGATAATAAAACACCTCCCTAAAATGAGAACACGTAACCCTTTATTTCATTTCAAAAGTTCAGTTTTGAGGGCGCATGGTTGGATCAATTGGTTAAGCATATGATTTCAGCTGAAGTCATGATCTCACAGTTAGTGAGTTTGAGGCCCGCACAGGCCTCTGTGATGACAGCACAGAGCAAGCTTGGAATTCCATCTCCCTCTCTCTCTTTGCCTCTCCTCTACTTGGTGTTTATCTCTCTCAAAATAAATAAAAATAAACGTAAAAAAAGTAAGAGTAGTTCATTTTTTTTTGTACTAACTAAACTAAGAGATTTCCACTCTATATGTTTTGTTCCTCAATGGTGAAATAATTTAAAGCACCTATTATTTTCCTAGAATTCCTACACAAATTAATGCCATAGGGCAGATACAACATTTAGAATTTAAAACTCACAGCCTATAATAAAGTCTCAATTGTTAGATTATTTCTTAATAGTTTAGTCATTGTATAATTTTGCCTTGTATAATATGAAGTTCCTGTGACTTTGTCATATATGTTTTCACTTTCTTACTAGTTAATATATGAGATTACTTTATGATTTATTAGATCAAAATTAAAAAAAAATAAGTTTATATTTGAGAAAGAGAGAAAGTGATCATGAGCGGGAGAGGGCAGAAAGAGGGAGAATCTGAAGCATCCTCCAGGCTCTGAGCTGTCAGCACAGTGCCTGAAACGGGGCTTAAACCCACAGTTCACATCATGACCTGAGCTGAAGTCTTATGCCCAACAGACTGAGCCACTCAGGTATCCCTAGATCAAAAGTTCTGATATGACATGGGTATGTACTTTATAAGAAATGAGGTAGATTATCAGTAAAATTCCTATATTTAGAGAAAAATGTTTTAATTATAAATGTAATTTTACATCAGGAAAAATGAATCATTAGTGTTTCTACTTCCCTCAGAATGTATCTGAATTTGATCTCAAAGATTTTTTTTTTTTTTTGGTAAAGTGCTTGTTGGCCTGTTTACAACATTGATGGTGTTTGTTTATTTAGAAATGAAAGGTTTTGAGGCACCTAGGTGGCTCAGGGGGTTGAGAATTTGACCCTTCATTTCGCTTCAGGTCATGATCTCATGCTTTGTGAGTTCTATCCCTGTATCAAGCTCTGTCCTGACAGCATGGAGCCTGCTTGGGATCCTCTCCCTCTCTCTCTGCCCCTCCTACTTTCTCTCTTTGTCTCTGTCTCTGTCTCTGTCTCTCTCTCCCTTTCTCTCTTTCTCTCTTTCAATACACTTGAAAAAACTTAAAAGAAAGGAAAGATTTTTGTATGCTTGATTCTAAAGAATGTATTATACCCCTAAATTCTGTGTCATTGGAGGGATATAGTAACATAATACACTATTTAATGTCTTTAGCTGCTTAATTTGTACAAGTTTTCCTTAGAGGTTTCATGGTTGATTTTAATGAATATAGTTTACAATTTTACCATCCATGAAGACATGCCAATAATTGATAATGTTCCTTTTTTCATGGGTACACAGTCACAGTTTAATATTAGGGGTACATAGGATGTCAGGGTGCTCAGTTGGTCAAGAGTATGGCTATTGATTTCGTCTCTTGATTTCATGGTCTCACAGTTTGTGAGTTCAACCCCTCTGTTAAGTTCTGTGCTGAATATAATGTTTTGTTACACCTTTAAGATGTTTTAAGTAATCTCTAAAGAAACTGCAATGAAAATATGTACACAATACATCCACCAATAAATAGATAATGAAATTAATTCTATTATTATGACAACTCATGTAGACGTGAGACAACATTCACTGACGACTAACCCAGGAAAGAAAAACACAGGACGATTCACAAAGTATCATGGGTAATATTTCTACACATGAATACTTAGATCATTTTATTGGCAAAGGGCATACAGCTGATTCATTTTTGAGTTATACTGACATTGTCTGAAAATGTAATGAGTCGAAAATTGTCACCCTATAACAAAATACACAGGTAAAAACAAAACCACACTTCAAGCTGAAGTTGAAAAAGAATGCTGTGTAAAGTCCTATACAAAAGGAAACACATTGGGGCGCCTGGGTGG